AATATTGCATGATACCGTTTTTTATCTGACATATGAATTCGTTTTTATAGGTTATTATGGCAACAAATCGTATTGATATACTTGATCCCGCATTACTGCGGCCTGGTCGCATTGATAGAAAAATTGAATTCCCCCCTCCATCTGAGGCTGTATGTATTTTTATTATTTTATTCTTTAATTATATTTTTCATTTCCTTTTACAGTTTTTCACATTTATTTGAATAGGCCCGTGCTGATATTCTAAAGATTCATTCACGTAAAATGAATTTAACTCGTGGCATTAATTTACGCAAAATCGCTGAAAAAATGACAGGGTCTAGTGGAGCAGAAGTTAAGGTATTCAATCTTTTATATTCGAGCATTTCATTCTTTTATCATACTAATGCTCTTTTCAATGATTTAGGCCGTTTGTACTGAAGCTGGTATGTACGCTCTTCGAGAACGTCGTGTACATGTAACTCAGGAAGATTTCGAAATGGCCGTTTCTAAAGTTATGAAGAAGGGTGAAGAACAAAATGAAAGTTTACGCAAACTTTGGAAATAATGATAAAATGGTTTTCATTAAAAATTATATTAAGAACAATAAAGCTAAAACTCAAATTTAAGTTCAAGATTCGTAAATTTTTTTACTTAAAAAAAATTTTTTTTTTAAAATTTGTATTTTAATTATAAGATAATATATCTGAGTTTGCATTGGACTAGCTAAATAAAATTTTAAATTAAACTAGATTAAAAAAAATATAGCAACTCGAATAAATTGATTTCAATTATTAATTAATTGGCTTATCGAATAATTCGATTATTCATCTTTTAATCTATATATCAAATTTCGGATATTCAATAGTTAAATGGAAAGCCTAACGAAATAGCCCTATTATTTTATTTTTCAGGTTTTTTTTTGTGCGAAATGTTAGATTGAACAACACGTGTAATCAATCAGAGTATAGATGTACGAGTTAATTTTATCAATGGGAAATAAATCTAATTTGCTTTCTGTCAGCTTCCACTACCTTTCACCAGTTTGTCACCTTTCGCCAATTTGTCATTTCACCTTTTTAAAATTTTTTTAGCGAAATTCGAAATCATGTTTCGCTTTCTAGTAAATTATTACGCTTATATACACAGAACGTAATTATATACCCATCATGCTAGATACACAATTGGTATTACGATGATGAAGGATATTTTTGATAATTAAA